TCCCGCTGAGCTCGTCTGAGCGCTCGATGCGAGGGCGCACTCATACAAGATGTGTGCTTACGCGGAGATCTGGCTGCGACTTGAATGCGAGCGAAGATAGTAGACCGACGATACAGCAATCATGCAATCGGCGACCAACTCCAGACCGAAAAGGGTAATGACATAGGGCTACCCATGCTGGCATGAGTTGTAGAGAGTGCTCAGTATCCGAGGCACTCACGAAGTCGCTCGCACCCCCTGTTAATCTTGGGAAGCCAAGACTAGTAGCGAGGCAATCAGTACACTCTAGTCATGAATAGCGCCAGAAGTACTCACGAAATATCTGTGTATGCTAAACAAGTTCGAATCAACGTTCACCCATCGTTGAAAGGAGTGTAACCCGAGTTCACCAATCCCAAACGCTATCGAGCGGGTCAGTACAGTAATGGCAATAGATGCGCGCTCGTATAAGCTCGCTGCTCTTGCGCGCCTCACCAAACTGAGCCAGCGACAAGAGTACCTGTCTCAGACGTGAGCAACAGTTCAAGACCACAACATCGGAGCCTCGCGACGCACTATGATGATAGGCAGGGCAAGCCTCTTCCCCCCGACTGATTGTATGTGATGCCTTTGTTAGAACCCGCCAAGATATGGTAGGGAATAGTCCATACGGATGTACACGCGATGTGCGAAGAAGCTGGCACAGCTTAGCGTGGCTAGCAGAAATAAGGCGGACGACGTACCATTGAACTTGGAGAGCTACGAACGCCTAAGAAGACAGTCAGCGATAATACGCTGCCCTCAGGACCACGGTCGCTTACGCTGAAGGAGATCTCAACCTACCGCTTCAAGGTCAGCTTCAGTTCACGTTTCACAAAAAGGACGACTGTGAACCAGTATGCTCCTAGCACCGTCGATCAGTCGCGATCTCAAAGGTAGCGCACCCAGCACTCACCACACGGTATGATCATCCAAAAGAACGTGGTAATCTCCGAACTGAGTTACGGTGTAGTAGTAGAGACCGTAGTTCATCAGAAAGCATGTAGTCGTCTCCATGACCCTGGGAACTGATCAGCGCGTGACACAAAAGTGTAGACAGCCTTTACCACAGGACCGTGACCTAGAGTACATGAGACTGCGTCGCGCGCGGGGAAGACGTATCATACGCACAAACGTCTTGAGTACCCAAGTGTCGCGCTTCGAGTGCGCAGTGTAGTACAGGAAGAACTGCATACAGTTAATTCCGTAGATGCTGCAGTAAGCGTCAATCTTGGCACTTGCTAGGGCAGTTTACACTTACAGGCTCGAGAGCATGACGCCGACATACAGAGCGCCTAGCGTATCGTCCAAAGGGATGCTCGAGGGCATGGCGACTCGCAACGGCGGGGTGCCTAGTTCGAAGGTCCTGCTTCAAATACCCAGGCGCGAGGGCGCGATAGAAGCACTGAGGCCAAAAACAGCATCGTGTGTATCACACAGCAGCTGCACCGTCAGATATACATCTCATCAAGGCTATCCACCCCTCAGAAGTCGAAAACTAAAGAGAGAATCGTCGAATTTGATACGGCTGGGAAGACAGTCCAGCCTACTGAATGGGTGAGGCTGATACTTGAAGATGGCCATCAGTGAGAGCACAGGACGTGCACCACACGCTTCGAGTAGTATGCTGCTGTTATCAGTAAAGGCATCGCTGAATTTCTCATTGGCACGCACAGGACCTGTCGGGGGAGGGATCCAGTATACCGCTATCGAAGACCTGGTGCATCTGTATGGGAGAATCGAAGAGTGTGCTCCGCTCGTCGGCATTCGCACCAAGATTGAGCCTACACAAGATGCAACTGTGGCCGGGGTCAGAACGTGATCTGAGCAAGCGTGAGCGATAGAGGCAGCGGGCGCGGTAAGCGCCCAAGACGTTTCTTTGCATCAAGTGCGGGGAATATACTATACACCGATAGATTGCGCGCGGCAACTACCCACGTATCCGCTCCCGTTACCCATAGCGATTTTCCCTGTCAGGTTCGAGCCTTCGACCAATATGTACATGGGCAGGGCGCATGCCTCAACGCTTCCGCATCTTCAGCGAGGCTACATCGCTGCGACCACACCAGCTAGGTGGGACTACAATTGCATCTTGTCGCAACAGTGCGCTCTTAGTGTGGGATGCATGAAGAAACAAGACATGTGAGTCCCATCCCAGTCCTCGACAGACAGTAGGCACGGTGTTCACTGTAATGACCGCGATGATGAGGGGGAGGACAGAGGCGCGGTCGGCGAGGATGGCGAGTTGTTCGAGTTCGGCTTCCGGCCCGGAACGGGTGTTGTCCGACTCACGGCCATGCTGACCAGACGCAGACCACCATCGCAGTCCTGGGGCTCTATGCTAAAAAGGCCCTCTTCAGAACCCCCTTCGATCGTATGATTATGTCGCAGGGCTATCTGTTTCTGTGAGCCGCGCGTACAAAAAAAAGGCCTGAGATTTACCTTTTCCTTCGGCGCTGAGTCGTGTTCGTCTTTCGTTGAAGACGAGGTACTTTGACGCATAACACCC